GGTATGAATACTTTTGCAAACCACTGTATATATATATATAAAGAAATCATTGTCATCCAACGACGTAACACAATCCAAACAGATTCAGGTTAGCAGGAGACAGCTTGTCACCATCATACAAAAGTGCAAGAATAATTTTAAGTATCTGTTCATGTGGGTTTTATATGTTGAGGTCATGCCTAAACAGATCGAACTTGCAGTGCTGATTGGCTCTGGAAAGCCCCACTGGGAGTTTCGATGCCAAAGTCAATAGCATGACTTGTTCTTATAGGTGTAAAGGGACTGTTTATGGTTGCAGTGTTAGGCCTCAGAGTCCAGCTGGAAGGGAAGTGACACGGRAGACATGAGGATAAAACTTGTGAGTTAGACCTGCGAGATGAAGAACTTGTTTAAACTGCAATCTCGTGGAAATGATGACACAAGCGTGTAAAACCACAATACTATAAAAAAGGTAAAAAAATAATTAGGTGATTCTAGATTCTGATTCTAAGTTTGATCAAGAATAAATGTTTAAAAATCATCACCTAAAATCTCATGTCACCTGATTAAAAAAATAATTAATAGTGAATTTATTATCTAACCTATTTGGCTTTTCACTATAATCACTTTCACCTTCCACATTTTTATATTAATATATGCTACTTTTCTATACTTTAAATGAAAGCTTTTCATCCTTGTCATTGCGTATTTGAGTTAAAACTAAATTAATTATTGAAATAAAATGCTTTCACTTTCGGCCATTTTGCCCAGCAGTGCATGAGTTTATTGAAATTTCTTGCCAATTACCTCACAAACAGTGATTGAATGTTGAGGCAGTGTGATCGTTTTTAGTCACACCAACTCCTGTAAAAATAAAAACAAAAAACATCTGGAGCTTTTGACAGAACTGCTCCAGYTCTTGATGTAGGAAGATTTACTCAGAAAAAGTGATTATTGCAGCTCAGCTTGTTTGACTATCAGCACAGCCACAGTAAATGACTGTATGCCGGCATTAGTCATATGTTTAACATGTCGGTTCACAACAGTGAAGCAAACAAATCAGTTCATCAACTTACAGTTATCAAAGTGCTGCTGTTTCAGTGCAAACAACCTGACAGGGTTTACAAATCAGCTGTGGTGAAAGCATCCAAAATCATGTGGAAAATTATAAAATATCATCTTTTTAGTGCAAATTTTAGAGTTAAGCATCTGATGTTTTGCAAATATGTGGAAAATTTTGACTTGGCTTTTAAATGTGAATAACAACTGGTGTGACCTGTAATACACAGCTGATATGATGACCAAAGAAAAAAGAAGGATTTCAGTTTAACAGCTCCTCTGTGATAACAAAACACACCGGTAAAATCATTTTTGATGACATCAACATCACAGAGGAAGTGATCAAATAAATCATCCCGATGTTTTTTACATTAACAAGTTATCCCAATCAGATGTGCAGCATTTACTAGATTTACTCCTCTAATATATCACCATAAAAAAAATTACAGGAACAAATTATTTGCAAATAAACCTGCGCATGTCTCTTCAGAAAGATTCTCTAATATGTGTGTAAACAATATGTTACACCGTAAAGTGCCCTAAAGGTAGAAAAAGTCTTATGAAGTGATATATGTTTGATAAATGAGGAAGACAACTGTTTAAAAAATCTTTAAAATACACAATAATTTGTTGGCTTTAGCTCATTGTGACAACAAGCACTGATTTATCATCTTTCACTCTTGTTTGCAAAGGCAGATGTCGTCACATCACCGCGGACCACAGGCAGAAAAACACCCATAGCCATGGGCAACAAGACCACAGGCTGACAACACTTTTACTCCACATTGTGAAAAGAAACACGATGCTTTAAGCCAAAAAAGGTACTTCCAAAATCAGAATATTGTAAAAGAAAAAAAACTGGGTTGTAAATGAATTCTTTTTGTCACTGTGTGTTTTGGCTCAATGCCCTCATTGTTTCTGTAAAACCATGACGTTTMATCTGTGTCCACCTTTGTGGTGTAAAAGTGTCTCCAATCCCGTGTCACTCATCAGCCTCATTTCCAAAAACAAAGAAATACCCACACATTGTATTTTTTTTATATCAACATCCCCCTGAAATGCCAAAAATAATGTCCAGGGGGCCACAGTTATACGTCTCACTGATTCAACAACTGTTTATTTATGGTAAATAGCAACGGGAACGCTATAGAAACCAATGAGAACAATGTTATGTGCTGAAGTCACAAAAAAAAAACCAAAAAAAAAACGCTTTGCTTTTTGGACCCCAGCCTTGACGAAAACACTTTCCAGAAACTAAAGTGAATCTACTCCAAACGCAAGCAGTGAAGGGAATTACATCAGGCAGAGAGAGAGAGAGAGAGAGAGAGAGAGAGAGAGAGAGAGAGNTACTCCAAACGCAAGCAGTGAAGGGAATTACATCTGGCAGAGTGAGAGAGAGAGAGAGAGAGAGAGAGAGAGAGAGAGAGAGAGAGAGAGAGAGAGAGAGAGAGAGAGAGAGTCAGCAGAAACGTGTAACAATGTTACCCAACATTTCATATTTTTTAACTAGCACTTAAATACTAATATAAACATCAAGTCCAGCTCAGTGTTGCTAAACTGGATTTCATCATTTATAAACATTTATATATGTTATGTAAGTTTAATTTATTTTAGTCTTGTTTCCATTTTTGTATTTCATATTCAAATGATTCTCAACAGATAAAAGCAGTACAATGGTGGCATACACAGTTTCACGGTTATTTACACTGAATTTACAAGCATAAATRGCAGCAGCAGCTAGTTGTAGCACTTTGCAGTGCAGCCTGGCTCACATCTCTCCTGATATATGTGATGAATCTGGTATTTTTGCACCTGTTTCTCATTGTTTTAGTTTTATTAAAAAGCTGTAATATTTCGAGCCATCTGTCCTTCATTATTCAAAATAAAACAAATAAGATGTTTTACAAGGTCTTTGTTGCATTGTCATCTGGGCCAAGCTGTTTCACAGTTAGAAAGGAGATGAAGGCCCGATGAGTCACTCCCAGTTTCCCAGAGAGATGTTAAAAGCAGCTCCAGTGGGTCCAGTGGTGCACGCTGTGAGCGAACAAGTGGTCCTCGTTTCTGGACATCTTYCAGGGGTGGTTTGAGTTTATTCCCTCTTTTATGTTTAGTACATTCAAAATGAATGTTTGCATTGTTATAACATCCCACTGAGGTACTCACTCAACTGATGGCTTTTCTACAACGTCCCCATTAGCTGTCTTCACAAAACACCAGCTTAAATACAATTAAAGGAAGCTATGGAGTGGTGGACAGTCAGGGCCAGCATCTGCTGGCCTAAACACAATCAGAATCACTAGCTTACATTTCAGTATATATATGTATTTTTCCATTTATTTTTATTATTACTCTTTGTTTCAAAGAGTTTTTCCTGGTTGCACAGCTTCCAGTAGTTAAATCTGCCTCCAGGCCTTCAGAAMCAACAGTGAAGGCAACACATGGCAATGAAACTGTTGCTCTGATCAATCAGATGTGGAGTTGGTGACATCAGAGCCTTCTAGCAGGCAGAATAGATTCGACTTTCAGCATTAGCTTCCATGGTGGTGATAGAAACAGACTTATTGCTGAAATAGAAACCTGTGTAACAGAGGAACCAAACTCTTTAAGCAAAAAAAAAAAAAAGGATGATGGTGTTTGTGTACAGATAATTAAGTTTTGGTGAGTAGAATATATTGTATTTAAATTTTGTTAGTTTATTGTGTTAATATTGATGGTTTTGGTAAAGATGTATGTGGGTGTAGTTGATGGAAACTTGTTGCATGTTGCTATTGTGTTGCTTCAGTAATGYCTGTCTGTGGCAGAGCAGCATATTATTCTGTGTTTCTGTGTATTATTG